CGGTGCACCCGCAGAGGGTTCCCGCCACTCAGGTTTCTTCCGCCTCGTGGGCTAATCACCCACCGGCTCGCATGCACGTTGAACTCCTCGGTCCGTGTTTCAAGACGGGCAGGATAGAGGAATTTCGCCGGCATCTCGAACACGTAGGAACCCGAATCGGCCCGCCGAAAGAGGCGCGTGCTCAAGGTCCTCGACTGCCGTGACGGCCACCCGTGGGGGGTTTCAATCGCTCCCCACCGCAATGCCGGTCACAGCAGCCCATGCTGGCAGGCACCCCACGTCCAACAAGGGGGGCGAGAACACAGTCGCCGTCCACCCCTGCCTAGACCGGAGTGCACGACTTCCCCTCCTTCCGCTTCTCGCTCGGCGATTTCAAACACTCTTTAACTCTCTTTTCAAAGTTCTTTTTACCCTTCCCTCGCGGTACTTCTTCGCTATCGGTCCCTCGCACATATTTAGCCTTGGATGAGACTTACCACCCAATTGGGGCTGCATTCCCARGCAACCCGACTCTTGGACAACACCTCGTTGCGCAGCAGGGTCCGACGGTTGACGGGGCTGTCACCCTCTTCGGCGTCCCCTTCAAGGGAATCTGCACACGGCCTGCTGCAGAGGTTGCCTCTCAAGACTACAATTCATGGAGCAGCACAACCCCCGGATTTTCAGTCTGGGCTATTCCCGGTTCGCTCGCCGCTACCAAGGGAATCCTCGTTGGTTTCTCTTCCTCCGCTTAGTTATATGCTTAAATTGGGCGGGTGCTCCCGCCCGACCTGAGATCAAAAGGCAAGGCCCGACGTACCTCCACAGCTCGAGGCCGACACCCCCAACCGCAAGCCCACCTCAAGCTGATGGGAGCGAACGGAAGGCGGCGACCACACAAACCGGAGGGACGACCTTACGTGCCGTTTTCAGGGAAACGAAGACCACAACCCACAAACGGGTGTTGGAGGGCAACAACAGGGCGGAGCGAAACGCWCCACTCTGGGCTGCGGCCCCCACCGGTCCGCTCAAAATGATCTCTAATTCCCTTCCACTTTAGGCTATCGACGCTCTCCAAGTGGGGAGCGAGGGAAGCCACGACCACGAACCCCACCACTCTCCGAAATGGAAGGTGCTGAGGCCCTGAGGAATCCAATGATGCTCWGGCGGGCGTGCCCTCGGCAGAAGCCTTGGGCGCCACGTGCGTTCAAGGTATCGAGGGCTCACAGATTTCTGCAATTCACATTGAGTATCGCATTTTGCTGCGCTATTCATCGTTGCGAGGGCCAGGATATTTGTTTGCCGAGAGTTCTACAATATGGTGCCGTTCCGACAGGACCAACCCCTCGGCCAGAACAGAAGGGGGCCGTCAACCCGGACAACGACAAATCAGAGCAGGTACATCAATAAGAAGTTGCAAAGCCGTCGCCACCAGCCGCTGCCATGGGCTTGCCCGACACCCCGTTCGGGGGGCTAGGCAGGGCACCGGGGAGCAGCGGGGCAACGAGGGTGCAAGCGCTATCTCCTCCCCCCTCCGCCAACCCGACACCCCCCCGTTCACGACCAAAACCCTCCCCTAATGGCCCTCCACCCCGAGATTCAGACCACCTCGACTGTGTCGAGGACGACGATCTGTCCGGAAAGGAGAACCCYGTTGGGAAGGAAGGCAGGACGAAACGGGGAGGGGCCGAGGACCCCGGAACACACCCCGCCCCTAGCCTGCACCACGACCCTGGATCCCCAAACAAGCCTGAAGCTCCGCACGAAGCCGAGGTTGAGGTTGGGATGGAAAGGAGGTCTGGACAAAGCTGAGACGGGAAGGAGCGGGGGTACGCAGGCCGAGGACAGCCGCCACCACCCGACATCCAGCCCCTGACCCTCCCACAGGGCTGTCCGTGCCCGGACCAACCGCCATCCCGACCAGAAGTCGAGAGTGGGGCTGGGCCGAGGTAACAACCTGCGGAGGCGAGATGGGATGAAGGGGGAGCAACGCCACAAGGCCCCGGACCCTGCCCACTCCCCCCACCCTCGACCTACACCACGCGCCCCTCTACGCCGAGCCAGCCACCAGCTGGGTACTAAGCCCAAGATTGTGCTGAAACGGAAGAGAAAAGCGGATGCAGGGAGGATGGGGGCAAAGGGTGGCAGAAGGGCGAGCAAGCCAGCGTCCCACACCCCGAAGATCGGCCATTCACGTGTCAATGATCCTTCCGCAGGTTCACCTACGGAAACCTTGTTAAGACTTCTCCTTCCTCTAAA